GCAGCAGGACCGATGCAGGGCCCTCTCTTCCAATCACAACTGTCCTGTTGCAACAGTCAGAATGTTTGAGAGAAAACATGCTTTCATGTCTTATGCCTGGTCCTCCACACAGATGTCACAGTGGCTGAAGTCCCCCAGGAGGACCAGGGTTTGTGAATATGAGGCTGGTCCTGTCTGTCTAGAGAGCCTCATCAGCTTGATCTTCCTGGTCAGGTGGCCTGTAGCAAGCCTGTGCTTGCCCTCCCTTTAATCCTGACCCATAAGCTCTAAGTCAGCTCCTCCCCAGTCCCTCCCAAGGTGGAGCTCCATGCACTCTAGCTGGTCACTGGCAGGCAGCTCAACACCTCCTTCTGGTCTCCCCTGCCTGTCCTTCCTAAAGAGACTATCCTTGCATTCCAGCATGCTGCAGTCTTAGGAGTTTCTACTGTGTTTCCATGATGCCAATAAGATCATTGCTGTGCAGGCATGCACACATCTCTGGTTTATTCCCCATGCTGCATGTATTAGCATGGAGGCATTTAAATTGGGCCCCCCATGAAGCTGATTTTCTGTCTGGAGTCCCTGGAATTCCCTTGTGCTATCCTTCAGGTGCTCTCCTGCTGACTTGCAGTCCCTCTCCAGGATCTGGGCATCTCTTGATGGCTCTGGCATCTAACTGATGTAAGTGGGATGGCAAGTCATCTGACATCTTATCACTGTTAAACCTGATGATATCCCCCCCCCATTATATCTATTTTAAAGCCATAACAATAAGCCCCGCTAGCCCCTGACCAAAGACCCTCTCCTGAGAGAGGCGATGCCTTTGATCCCATCTGATGCCAGCAAAATCTGGTGCCATGTAGGCCATCCCATTATCAAACAAACAAAAATTTTGGAAGGGACACCAGCCACTGAACCATGTATTAATAGACTGGGTCCATCAGTTTCTTTCAGTCACTACCTGCACGTGGAAGAATAGATTCCCTCACCAATCATCCCAAGACCTTGAAGTCTCTTTTCATGGCCTTTGGATTACATGTTGTGAGTTTGTCACCACCCGTATGGACGATCAGCAATGGGTAATAGTTTGAGCACTTTACTAGGCTAGGAAGTCCCTGACGTGTGCCCCAGGGAAGTAGCAGACATCCCTGAGGGGAGTCTCTTTCCAGCATATTGGACCTTCTGTTCCCTTTAGAAGAGAACCATCTGCCACTGTAATCCTTTAATCCTTCTTTTCTTCCATGTGGGACTGGTCTTGATACGAGGTGTAGGTCTTTCTGGCCTTGGTAACATCTGTGGTGGAGAGGCACCATCATCTTCATCATCCATTGACTGACCTTCCACATCCAGAGCCCCATAGCTTTCATGCAGAGGCACCTGAGAGGGTGAGGTGGGCAAGAAGGGGTCTTGTTGTCCCAAGCAAGGACTGGCCTTTATACATTAGGACTTCACCTTTCCTTCAGCCTGGCAGAGGGAGGTTACAGGACCGGCAGAGGGAGGTTACAGGACCCTCTGAAAAGGAATGGATAGATAGCAAGTCGTTTCTGTAGAATAATGACTACCTTTTTAGAGTTGTTTTCACAATGACTATTTATTAGAATCTTCAAAGAAGCTATTTTGAGTTGACTTTATAGTGTCCCTTACTGGGACTTTGCTTTAAAAAAGTTAGGACTCCCTCATCGTTCAGTAGGCAGGTCGTTTTGAGAATATAATTCATGACATCAAAAAAGGCTACTGTCAGATGAAAGGGTGAGGGTGAGGTGGGGACGAAACAGTTTTTACCAAGACACTACTAACCAACTTTCTTGAGACAACATTCAGCTCACCTATGTAAATATTTCTGTTGCACATTATAAATTGAGATGCTAAATTTGAAATACAATTTCATTGCAATTCATCAAGAGATGAAGTTGGACCTAAATTCTACACTGAGCCTTCAGCTAAGCTTACTTCTTGAAGTAGAGTCAATATTTATCAGTAACTATTGTCAACTAATAATAGTAACTAAGTTTCTGGTAAGTAGTGGTAAAACACTGAGCCATTTTTTGCATAGTAAAAATTTTAGTTTTGTCAGAAAACAGCAAACAGAACAAGGTTTATAGGTAGAGTTTTCACAGCATCTTTAATAATAAAAGAAAACCCACACTTAACTGGTTTAATAGCATATTACAATGTTCCTGTTTGTGCCCCCCTCCCTGTTGCCCCTTTTTCTGTCCGTCCTTAAAATTCTCTCTTCACAGTTATCATCTACTTCTTCTTTCAGAAGCAGTCTTATCATTAACTCTGAGCACTTCAATAACTTGTATTTGAAATCTGCAGCTTGCATTTTGGACCAGAAAGGCAGGTGTGCCTGCAGGTTGTTTCTTTATTTTCCTACTTTCTTGTTTTCCCCTACATTGGACCAAGTCACCTGACAAGATTGTCTGCAAAACTGCCTTGCCTGGTCATCAAACTACTGCTAGAGAAAAGTAGCTGCTGCAAAAAGAAAAAAATCTAAAAGTCACAGTAGTGTGACTGGCAGATGTAATTTAAAAGATTTAAAATGCGTATATTCAAGTGAAACACTATTGGGAATGTGACAGCAAGATGGCTAGTTTGGTAAAGGATGTGGTCTGCCTAATTCTCATCTTGGTTCAGAGGCTGCATAATAAAGTAAATATTAATAAAAAAATAATAAAATGACATTTCAATTTAGGGCTACAGTGGCAGGCAGCTGGTCTGTTCCTTTTGCCTGTATAACTTGTGCAGTTTAGTAAGACTCTACCCTTCCTATGTTTAATGTATAAATGCATACTGCTATTGGGATACATAGCATTTCATTTCCTCATTTTGGCATTGAAAAATGTCTGTGCTGTAGTAGGTACAGTATTTACATAGCATGTTATAAACAGTGCTTAGCACAAATTCTTGAGGACGTATAGTATGTGTATCTTCCATAGATACTTTGTGCTCATAGACAGAAAAAGCAATTTCTAACTCCAGGCATTTCCTCCCCAGTTTTTGTTGCATTTGCTAAATATAGTTCAAAAAACGGACAGAGCACTTGCATCCAGATAAGCTCTGCTAAATATAATAACCTCCACAACTAACCTGAATACAACATCCCTAATATCGTGTTAAGTTTATTTAAAAAACAAAATAAAAAAAACCCCAAGAACTGCCTCCCTCACCAGCAACAAAAAAACCCAAACAAAACCCAACAAGGAAATGAAATGGTGTAGGATTGTGTTTGGGCAGGGATTGTTCTGCTTTTTCTTCTAGTGTACATATTCACAGCTTCATTAACATCTGAGGGTAGTTTTATGTGGTTAGTATTGGGATAATTCACATCTTAATCTTTTAATTTGGGATGCACAGGATATAAGTGAACAGAAGTAATGCTTTGTTGTCTTTCAGAATAGCAGGTAACAGACTACTTAACTGATTAAGTTCACAACAACCTTCTATGCAGTACCTTTAAGTAAAAGCAAAATGCAAATATATTAAAAGGTTAAGGGGAGGAAATATTCGTGGCATAGAAGGAGAGTGAGAAATACCCTGACCTAATTTGAAGAAGCATAAACTGCCTGTAAGTACAAACATACTAGTTTGTTTAGAAGACTTATAAACCCCAAGATGCTTACATAACATTCCCTAAAAGAGAATGGTCTTTAACAGTTGAGTACAATATTCTGTTGGTGACAGTCACTTTGTGAGCATTCTATAAATGCTGACAACTAGATCTTAAAATTAGAGTCTTACCTTCTCAGAACTCACACTTGAAAATGTTGCCCATTTAAAAAAAAAAATTATTTAAAGGTTTGATTGTATCTGTGCATGGCAGGATGTAGCTGCTTTTCTATCATTGTAGAGTGTCCCGATCTGGTTTTACTGTGTCTGAAAAAAGTGTGCATAAATCTATAGTTAATAATGGGTACATTAGGTAAGCTCTTTGTTTGTAAAATGGTGTATTGGCTGAAGATGAAGACCTCATTAAAAGGAGAGGTGCCGCAAGAGGGTGCCGTTTCTGTGATTTTCATTGCTACTAAACTTCTACAGTTCTGACAAGTCACTTGGTCTGAAGGGGTCTGAAATTTGAGGGTGTTAAGAAGCAGACACACATGCCTGTCTCTTGTACTTAACTTTGTCTCTGTGTCTTAAACTTGCACGCTGGCTCTCAGAACAAACAGACTGTGATTTGAGAGCCAGCTGTAGTTACAATAGCAGACTAAAACCGGTAACTGTCTGGTATTCTCTCTCTCCCTTCAGGTCACAAACAAACAGGAAAAGACCACTTCTGGGTGTGCGCATTAATGCCTACAATCCCAATTCTGTGTCTAAAAATGGCCACTTTCAGGAGGATAATGCCCATTTATTGCACTGTGATTTAAGCACAGTAGTTTGTCTAGTAAACCACAAAGCCCTTATTATTTTTAGACACAGTGAGAACCAAGACAAACATTTTTCAACTAATTATCCAGGTAAAAATGACACTAAAGATGCTTTGAAACACGAGTTTGCTTCTGGAGGAGTTTGTCCATCCTCCTAGGAATAAAAAAAATTGCATGACACACTAAAAGTAATCCACATCTGACAGCACATGGGGATGTCTCCATTCAGACAAAACTCAAATCTTTCTCACAGAAACTATCTGAAGATTTCATTTAGTTAAGCTAAAAAGGCACCTCTTGTGTAACATGACATAAAGTACTTTTTAAAAAATATTTCAGCAATAAAAAAGGATTTTAACCTTAAATTCTGTGAGCTAGGCGACTGGATATTTGGAATTTTCTGATCACAAAAAAGGTGTGAAAAATGTATGTTAAAAATAGTGTGATCTACAGCTTTAAAGCAGATGTATGGACATGGGCTGAGGTGGAAGACTAAAGCCCACCAGAAAAGGGAAGTGAAGGAGAAGGTCCAACTGTGAAGGAGAAAGTTTTCTAAAAAAAAAATCTATCAATCTTGCATTCAGTACCTTAGATCACTGGCTGATTCACACTCAAATTCAATGTGTACACTTTGTACATTAAAGATGCAAGTTCAGAGCCAGCATGATGCCACTTATACTTTATTTCCAAAGCTGTCCATACAATTGTATTTTGTATATTGTGTCACCACCGCTGCCTTTTTTTGTCTCACATTTTTTAGCTTCATGTTCAGTGCATACAGTAGGAGTTCATGAAAGTTCTCATGACGTCATCAGTGCTCTGGTGAGGTCAGCAAGGTCACAAATGCAGAGGCTGCAACTTGTTGAAAATCTGGCAGTGAGACAGTGGTAGTGTAGGAACATCACGCATGTTCCTGTCTCTTCCAGAAAAATATATTGTTTCTGGCAAAGCTGTAAATTACTTAATCTCATAATAGCAGATGTGCCCATCTCCATGTCTGACAGAGTAAACATTAAAATTAAGAAAATAAATTATTCTTTGTAACCTTGGCAGGATTTTCCTGGCTCTTGCTAAAATGGGAGTGTTGACTTCCATTTTAGGGTTCTTACTAAAATGGGAGTTTTGGCTTCATATAGTGAAGGGTTGAAAGTAAAAAGTTGAAAGTTCTTGAAAATTATACCTTTTATGTCTTTTACAGAGCCAGGATGAAAAAAACCCAAGAGTAGTAAACCAGCTCTTAATATTGCAATCCATTTAAGTATAATGAATAATAAATTGGCTTGATTTAATAATCAATTTAATAATTAAAATCCTCTTCCATAACCTTGATATCCTCAAGGGAATTTCTATATGTGTCATTCAGAAAATTACTCCACCAATGCCTCACCCTGAAGAATAGCACTCTCAATCTCTAGTACTATTTCAGGGAGAGGTTTTTCTAGACTGACAGTAATGAAGTTCTCGGGTGCACTAGGAGGCTCTAGAGTATCAAACTGAGACTTGAGAAGTTCAGGTGGCATAAAATGACCTCTCCGCTTCTCCAGGCGGTCAGCAATGATGTCTATAGGCCCATCCAAATGAACAAAGAGGATCTTTAGTGATGGTTTTTCTTCTGGTTGCTCTGTCTCAATTGCAGATGGTCCATTAACTAATATATGCCTATACATCTTCTTCAGTGCAGAACAGGCCAGAATTGCATCTTGTCTAGATGAGTCTTCTCTATCAAAAAGAAAAAAAGCAAAAATCTTTACATATTCACATGCAGTTTAACAAAATGCCTTGTTAGTTCTGCTGAACAAGATAAACAAGCCCTGGCTCCTCAAAGAGGACAGCCATGGCAGTAATGGCATATTGACAGTGGTATTTGAGTAATTCTGACAGGATTTTGAAACCAAATTTCCAATCCAGGTAAAGATGTGATTTGAAAATGAAGTCAGGCCAGCCAGCCTCCTGGTAAAATCTCAGTCTTAGGGACCTTGTTTATTAGCCACCATTCTTCCCCAAATTAAATTAAATTCTAGCATAAGGAAGTGTCAGGATCATTTCTTAATTGCTAAGAACAGGAACTGACTATCCATACAAATCCCTAACTGTTATCTATAAATTACTATACTAACCTGTCTAGAGGTAAGTGGCTGATGAACAGTACAGAGCACTGTTCTTAAATACACATGCAGGTTTATTTTCAACACCTCTTTTCACCATCTCAAATTTAACTGTAATATTTTATGTTTCCTGTAACCATCCTCATTGGCAGCACTACATATAAGCCCATTTCAGGTTAAACAAGAGATTGGGTGCAGGTCAGTGGATGCTTTGCACATGTATTTTTTACTGGCAAGGTTTCTTAAAATAAAGCAATTAACTATGGGTATGTCTGTTCCACTGAAAAGCAAATCCAGAATTAGTTGTCTCTATGCAGAGTGAGTAAAATGCCTGCCTACGAAAATACATTCTGTAATCAACATTAGGTATAAACCTACTTAAAAATCATTCTATGGTCATCAGATTTAGGTTCAAAGGGAAGTAAGAACTTCTAATACCTACCATTATCACCTAGGTAAGCCAATGCCAGCTTCATCTAGTTACTAGTAGTAATAATTAAACACTGGCATTAGGCTCTTTTAAAGTACACTTGATTTTGCAAAGTTTCCATAGCTGAGCAGTGGCATTGGGCTAGCACATAACATAAAGCAGTGAATCCAGCAAATCAATCCAGACAAATTTCTCAGTGAATTAACCTGTGCTCCAGTGAGGTATGCTCACCTAATGTGCACAAGCAACAGCCACTGTGTAAAGCCCAGCTAAACAGTCCCTGCTCTCCCAGCCTTTCATCATCTGGGAGATGCTCCAGTCCCTTCATCATTGTTGGATGCTCTCCAGTATGTCCATGCCTCTCTCACAATAAGGAGCCCAGAACCAACACACACGAGGCCAAGTGTGGCCTCACCAGCGAAAAGGAGAGAAGGATCACCTCCCTTGACCTAGTAACAATACTTTGTCTAATATACCCCTGGATATCGTTGCCTGCCTTGCCAGAAGAGCACACTGTTGGCATATGTTCAACTTGGGTGTCCACCACAGCTCCCTCAGGCCCTTTTCTGCTGCTTTACAGCTGAGTGCCCCTCAGTGTCTGTACCAGTGCCTGAGCTTGTTCCTCCCCAGAGGCAGGACTTGCACTACTTAAAATGCATGAGGTTCCTGCCAGCCCATTTCTACAGCCTTTCAAGGTCTCTCTGCATCAGTTAGTCCTCCCATTTTGGTGTCATCTGCAAATTTGCAGAGTATACTCCAGGAAACTCAAGCAGCGTCAAAAAAGTTCAATACTATATCTTACTCAAAATAGCTGTATTTTATCCTACTGTTATTATTGGTGTATTTTGTGATTATGTTCTTTGTAAGCTAATGTCAGGCTTATTAACGAACTGGATCCTTGAAATTATTTTTACCCAGATAGTAGAAAAACAACTACCATTGGCAACAATTTCCCATACTATTACTCAGGGATCAGCTCACGCTCAGCAATTCTTATGACAGCTTAGATTAGTCAAAATAGAATGACTTTACTACCTGTAGAATGTCTTTACACTACTACATACATTTCTGCTTTGGAATGCAATGAGGAAAAACACTTTGGTACTTTTTCTGTCTTTAGCTAAAACTTTTTAAAGCTAGATATTCTCTTACCTCCTTAGTATATTGTGCAATGTACAAAGCCAAGGAATCCTGTCCTAGAAAGAAAACAAGTTAGTTAAAAATTCTTTATGAAATTAATTTGAAATGATTGCTTCTAACATCTCGAACATTTGACTACAGGTGAAAATTACCATTAAATTGTACAGCAAGTTCAGTTTTGAATCTCTTTCTTCCTATGTAGATTTGCTAGCACCACCTCAAGGCTAATAAGAAGTGCTAGGCATATTATCAATAGGATGCTTTTAGTGGAACAGAACTTTTTATATTACAGGTATCTGCAAGTATATGATGGAAGTTAATATGTATTCAAGCATAGCATGCACCTTGCAAACCCCTAAAGGACAGTTGACTTCTCTCTTGCTTCTATTATACAATTCAAATGTACAGCTTAAATTGTTATTTCTTTTCCCTTATGTAGTGTCATACACCTCCCCCCCCCATTTTGGACCAAAGTTGAGGTTTTCAGGAACAGACAGATCTAAATCTAATTATCTTCAATAACTTAGTTCTATTTATGTTGGTAGCAATCACAAATAAATGTAATCATAGCCACAATTTTTCAACACTTTTGCTCAGTAGTTAGGCAATTACAACATGAGTGATTGATCAGCTGTTTCTTTAATCTGAAATTTTAAGCTTCCACAAACTTTTGTCATGCCTAATGAGCACAAAACAACTGCTCCCATGTAAATCTTTCAGTGCTGTTACTGCTGGGTGAGCACAACAAATGATAACATGGACAAATAAATGCAACAATATTTTGTTGCTGACATTACAGAGTAACTTACCCCTGGCATTTAAGAAGACCCTCACAATTTTACACCTCTGTTTTTTCAGAAGAGATGCTTCGCTCTTGCTGAGCAGCACGCACCAATGATTTACTCATTCAAGTGTGCAATGCTGCTTCAAACAACATACAGGCTTCCAAACACCAGTGAAAGAATGAAGCTTTTAAAAAGAATCTAGAGAATTTTTTTCAGATAAATCCAGCCAGTTTTTAACCCAGACATGGGAAGCCAGTTTCTCCAGGAGAATGCTTTGGGAAATGGTATCAGAGGCTTTACTAAAATCCAGGCAGACAATATCCACAACCTTTCCCTCATCTACTAGGTGGGTCATAGAAGGAAATCAGGTTGCTTAAGCAGGACCTGCCTTTCCTAAACCCATGCAGGCTGGAGCTGAACGCCTGATGGTCCTGCACATGCCTTGTGATTGCACTCCAGATAATCTGTTCCACAACCTTACCCAACACTGAGGCCAAGCTTACAGGCCTACAGTTCCCCGGATCCTCCTTCTGGCCCTTCTTTTAGCTGGGCATCACATTAGCTAACCTTCAGTCATCTGGGGCCTCCCTAGTCAACCACCAGTGGTGATAAATGGTGGAAAGTGATTTGAGAGAAGGGTAACACATTTATGGAGTTGTCTTGTGTAGGGAACTCTATGATTCTTGTGGTCCCTTCCAACTCAGGATATTCTAAGATTCTATGATTCTAATCCAAAAATGCAACTCTGTGCATGGATGTAGAGGGAGAGATGTCTGACAAATTCTGAAACAGCAGTATACCCCTTGTGATCTTCCAAGCGTGCTTTGATAAACTACTTGTTTAGCCAGAATCCTCTGTAACATAAGAAGCCTCCCCCGCCTTACCAAATGCAGACCTGTGCTTGTCAGACCAGTCTACATAGTAAAAGCATCATCTACTTTAACAGGACGTGCACGAGGTTACAGAGATAAAGTCCAGATGACAGTTCTTACAGGGTTTATATAAGGTACCTCATCATTTAGTGGTGTTCCTCCTGCCATTTTCTTTTTATTCTCTAGAGGATGATAACTGTCTGCATCATAGAATTTCCATCCCAGCTAAGAAAAAAATACATACATCATGGGTCTTTCAGCCATATCAAGGGAGATAATAAGGATCACTGAATTCACAAAGACGACACCTAAGAAATTACAGGCTTCTTACATCACGGTGTGAATCATCGGTTATGCCATGATGATTAGCAAAACAATACTAAGTCGGCTTGGCAGCAGCAATAGCTGTTGCATCACGGCACTGAACTGAAGCCGGTGTAGGCGGCACCGCACTAGGGCCGCAGGGCGGTTTCCGCCCGCCCCGCCCGGGAGGGCGGCCCACGACACGCGGTGCGATGTCCTACCTTCGCAGCCAGACGGGACCCCACCGTGGTCCTGCGGGGAAGCACAAGAGGGTTACGCACGCTGGCGTGAGCCGCGACCCCCCGCACCGCACCCACCCGCCCCGCACCCGCACCGCACCCGCACCCGCACCCGCACCCGCACCCGCACCAGACGCTGGCTTCCAGCAGGCCGAGCCCGCCGGGCATCCTATCTATGCCCCGCCCCCGCCTGTATACCTACTTTCCCGAGCCGCTCACGCCTAATCATCCACCCCGCACCATGCCGGCCCCGGCCGCTCTGCCGCTGTCCTCCGGTCCTGTGCCGCCGCCCGCCTTGCCCTCGTTCCCGCCCTGCGCAGTGAGGCGGTGCAGGCCCGCTCCGCGATCCAGCAGAGGGCGGCCCCGGGGCGGCTGTGGGAAGCGGCCAAAGTACCTCTTCCTGCCCTGGCACGGGCGCCCCGTGTGGCTACCCGGGACCATAATCCTTCTCCCCTTCCTGGGAACACAGGTCGCGCGTGTCATGTGCCCCGCTCTTATTCTCTGCAGTCGAACCTTGTAGTGAAGTTACCGGATCATCTCCCGGACCCTCTTTGTTTAAGGCTTCTCTCTCTGGTCGGGCGTTTCTTTCCCAGCGCTCGCCAGCATGGTATTCACCGCTTGCAGCCCCAGCAACACACGCGAATTTAATAGAAACAGTAATTTCTGCCGTCTTTGTTAAAGCGTGCTTGTTGGTTGCTGTTTTACCTTTTGCTCATAAAGGTCTGCAGTTAAACTTTAATTAAGGCATCGGCCATGCCGTGGCTAACTCTGTTTTAGTATTGCTTTAAGAATTGCTCCAGTCATACTTTTAAATCACAGAATCACAGGACGGTAAGGCTAGAAGTGACCACCGGTGGCGTCATTACTCCAGCCCCACGGCTCAAGCACATTAGGATTCTGTCCAGCCGGCTTTTGAATATCGCCAGTGAGGGAGACTGCACGGCTTCTCACGGCAGCACCTGTGCCTGGTCACCTTCACAGTAAGGAAGTTCTTCCTCATGTTCAGTTTGAACTTCCTGTGTTTTAGTTTCTGCGCCTTTCATCCTGTTGCTTGGCACCACCGAGCAGAGCTCGGTGGCTCTGTCCTTTTGACACCTTCCCTTCAGTTACTTGTGTACATTGATTAGAGTCCCCTCTCAGTTGTCTCTTCTCCAGGCTAAACAGGCCCAGTTTCCTCAGCTTTTCCTCATAAGACCCAGTCCCTTAATCACCTTTGTAGCCCTCTGTTGGGCTCTGTCCAGGACCTCCATGCTGCTCTTGTACTGAGGAGCACAGAATTGTACACAACACTCCAGGTGAGGCCTCATCACGGCTGAGGAGAGAGGCAGGATTGTGGAAATTTGTGGAAATGCTCATAGATACCAAGTATTCTTGCTATTATCATGTACATATATATAACATTTTTAAAGCTCTTCAAGGATCCAATGCAGTGGTGCTGCTGACCAGTGCTGAAGTTTTCCTTATATTTTTCCTCACTTTTTTTAATATGAATCAAACAAGAAATTCTCAGAAAGTACATTAAGTCTCCCAGTCTGCAAGAAATTTTATTTCTCTTGCATGGCACTTAAAATAACGTTATGAATGACGAATGCCTTGCTTTTTTTTTCCCTTTTTTTTTTTTTTTTGACTGTTATTGGTCTCTGATCATGTAATTGAGATTTGAAACTGCCTGTATTTCACATACCTATTAAGAAATTCTTAACAAAGACCAGAACCTTGGAAGTTATTAGGCTGTTACTGAAACAGGCCAGTCCTCAAATTACTAAAAGACCTCAATGATTCCTGTAAGATGCCCTGTGACTGAATATGTATTTTGCTGTAATACCCATATGATTGTGCTAAACTAATTGAATTTGCATGAATATTTTCCGTTTTTTGGCTGATTAATTGTGAGGCAAGAAAAAATGCTTCATTCAGATAAGGGTTCTTAGAAGGTCCAAATGAACAAATGCAAAAATACTATTGGTCACTGACCCTGGAAACATTGTCACAATAGCTACTCTGATTCCCAAAATTAAAACTTTTAACTGCTCCGTCACAACAATCCTTGAGATTCTGCTAACATGAAGAGCAATGGGCTACCCCACCTGCAGTGCACACCTGACCACTTTTGTAACCAGATTGTCACAATTTTATCCAGTTTAATTATTACAAAGCAGAGAAAACATACTCCTCTATTTAACAGGGTTTTTTCACAATGCTTATCTTTGCATTTTGGAAAAAGAACCATGTCATACTGGTGTGATGTCATCTAATAACTATTTTCTATCTGTCTATTTGCAGGAGGTCTTGCTAGGCGTTCTCTTTTACTCAATCCCAAGCTAACAAACCATGAGCATGCACTGACAGAGCTGTATGGACAGCAGTGTGCTCTGCAAATGCTGCTGCAGGGAGAAGAAAAAGATCTGGAGAAAACTAATTGAATTGCACAAACACAGGAGCCTATAGGCAATGTGAAGAGGACAATTACATTCAGACTTCCTGCTGGTGTGATTCATGTGACTTGTGTAGATATAATTCATGTTAGTAGTCTACTGGAAAGATGACTGGATAAAACTCAGCCAAATGGTTGACTTAACATCATCACATTGTGTATGCTTCAGTATCCACTTAAGATGTGTTTAATTAAGTTGTAGATCAAGTTAAATATGTGGATCCTTTTCATTTGAGTTGAATGAGGATTTCCCTTCCAGCCTGTCCTAGTCACAGACAAAAAAAAATATTTTTCCACTTATTATTTCTTTTAATAACGTGGAGGGGTTTAATATTAGTCTTCATCATTTAATGGTGTATGTACATCTTAGGAAATTTATTCTGATGCTGCCGTTTCTTTGAAGATGATTTGCCGTAGGTGGCATGGGTGATTTTCCATAGCATTTAAAATTATTTTTATTTCTAATGTTGTCAGAATATATAACTTGATTCTGAAGCTCTGATGTAGTTATATAAAAAATCCTGTATGGTTTAATGAACTCCACAATACATTCACATAGCTGAAATAAGAGACAATGGAATGTAAATGTCTTCTGATATTTATTATATTTAATAATAGGTGAAATTAAAATATAGTGGTGAAGGATGAACATTCCAGAATTATAAGGCAAAAAACCTGAAGATTACCTACCAGAAAACACACTAAGACCCTAAAGAATTTTCCAGATACCATGGAATTTGGTATATTTTATGGCTTTTTGGGAGTATTTTCAGTGTCTTTCTGAGACTCTGGTTTGACTAATTGACTGATACTGAATTTATGGAATTCAGTAAAGCTTCATCATCTACTTAATTTAGCTGCCTAATTTTAGAGAAGGGGAACATGAAATACAAATGAAAGAGTTCTACTTTCTTGGAGTTATTTCCTTAACTGTATCTACTTCCTTCTCAAAAATACTAGGAAAGGTCTGTTTTATTCATAATATTGCCAAATTCAAAGTAGAAAAAACCACATTCCTATGGTAATTCCTAATGGAAACTTATCACAGCATAATGGCGAACTACTACAGAAGTGCACAGGCTTCTTAAAGCTTGCCAGGAACATCCATCATCATGGACATCTGCTTCTTATAAAAGTAAGGGCTTAGATACACTGGGTAATCTGAACTTTCTGAATCCTAAGGAGAGAAAGACTGTTTTGCAAGCAGCTACATTTATGTAGACATTTAGGGGTTCAAATTAAATTCTGAGTATGTATTGATAGTAAATACAGAGTGTTAATAAGATGTGTTCACTGTGAGAAGAGTAACTGAAATAACCTGTACTGTTATTTACAGTATTTGTGGCCAGTGTTCTGATGGCCACAGTTAGTCCTCATTTTTAAGTAAATAATCATCAAATTATGTCTGTGTTGATCGAAACTGTACCAAAAAGTTTCAGAATTTGTTCTATGCAAGCAAAGTCAATACATTGTCTGAAGGCCTTTCCTTTGGATTCTACAGTAGATATTTGGGGTTTGGGGAGAACTTAGTTCATACTGGCTCTCAGCATGCAACAGAATTTGCCAGTACTGAGAAGAAAATCATCAGTTTGATAAATCTGTCAAGATTTTAGACAGCTGGGATCAGTAAATCAAACTAAAGCTGTTATACGTTTTAAAAATCACGTTAAGTATTTGTACATAATACTTCATCCCATTTTTTTCATACTGAAGTGCAGACCCTTAGGGTATGATGTTCTTGAAATAAAAAATGAGCACTGTAAATAAGTCTTATTTTTCCAGTTTGTGGTACAAAAAAACCCAGGTAAGAGTGAATAGGAGTGACTTTACTTTCTTTCTTCTAAGTGGTATAGGTATGTTATCAGCTTGATTGCAAAGCTGAAGAATTATCTGAGACTAGCTAGAGGCAAAAAAAGAAGGCAGGACTTCAGATCGTACTATAATCTGAACATGCCCTAGCTCACTAATTTCTGTACAGGGAAGCTTAAGAAAACATTTTTCTGAAGGTTAAATATGCATAACTCTAAACACAGAAGTTATTGTTAAATGATTTAAATTTTTCTAGCAACAACAAAGGAAATTCTATAACCTGCTTATGCAATGGCTGGTTGACTCACTTTCAAAAAAATAACATAGATAAGAAGTGGAAGATTAGTTAGTTTTTTTTATTCCTTAGTTATTTTTATTCCTTGGGTCCTAACTTATTAGTTAGTGTTGGTTATTGCTTAGATTTTGGAAACATCTTCATTTTACAAACTCTATTTTATCAGTGTAATCCAAAGTAAATCTTTCAATATCAACTCCACGTTTGGACAATAGCCCTACCAAATTTAATTATGTATAAGAAATCAAAGTATGATTTACCACATAAAATTTTCTCCATGTGATGTGAACAAAATCAGTGGACTAACATAAATACTTCAGAAAAGTGCTCAGCAAATCAAAATCTGTCTGGAATGCTAAGTTC